CTCAATTCAAAAACAGTTTCTCATTGTTTTGTAAAGAGATAATCATGAAATAATGTCATAAATGAAGCACTAAAAATGACCCAAAAAAGGCATGTCTGGGGGTTCAGTTGGTTAAGCATCTGCCTTTGGTTCAGGTCCTGATCTCAGAGTCCTGGGATAGAGCCCTGTGTCACATTCTTTGCTCAGTGAGGGGTCTGCTTTCTCCCTTTCCCTCTACACCTTCCCATCCCTCACCATCATGCACTCTCTCTCTCTCTCAAATAAATTTTATATATATATATATGGGTCAAAAGACACAAACTTCCAGTTATAAAATAAACAAGTCCTAGGATACAATGTACACAATTGTGACTTTAGTTAAAAATACTGTATTGTATACTTGAACGTTGCTAAGGGAATAGATCTTAAAGGGTCTCAAAACAAAAAAAAAAGATTGTTAACTATATGTGGTGACAGATGTTAACTAGACTTGTGCTGGTCATTTTGCAATATATACAAACATTGAGTCATTATGTTGTACACGTGAAACTACTATGTTATATGTCAGTCATACCTCAATTTAAAAATAATACTTCATGTTGTTTTTTTAAAGGACTCTAAAGTGTAGAAGTTCTTGATGTTTAGAGAATCATATTTTCCTCATTTTACTAAATATTATACTAATGTCATAATTCCATGAAAAGATTATTACCCCTGGAGAATACTTCCCTGTGTATTCACTCTGTTGTGTAAAAAATTTTAAGCCTGACTTGTAGAGTGTGTGTGTGTCAAAGAGAGACTTTTTTCCTTCTCCTACTTGTTTTTAACATATGTGTTGCACCAGACTCAAATTTTATGTTATTCAAGCCTATTAATAGGCAGTAAGTACACCTTTAAAATAGTATTGATTTATAATTGCATAGCAATTTCCTTCTACCATGCATCACCATGGGCATTGTCCCACTGCGTTGTCATAAGGCTGTGAGGGAGGCAGGGCACCATCAATTTTCAGTTTTTCATACTCATTTAAAGGTAACGAAACAGCCTCATTGGGTCACTTGCCCAAGGTCAAGTTCTTGTAAGTTCTACTGCCTGCACCACACCGTGTCACAAACAAGATAGCTATCTACCTGAACTGTGAGGGGTAAAGAATGCGAGTTTGCACAGCTCCTGCTTCCTCTGGGTCATACATGAGACATTATCTGGTAGGACTTCTCATCCTTTCTAGTTAATTCCCCTTATTTAATTTAGTCTTTCCTCAAACTAAGTAGGTACCACACTGAGGCAAAAAAAAAAAAAAAAAGCAATTAAAATACTTATCACATACTTGTTGCCAGTATATCTTCTCTACTGTATAATTTTTAAAGGTGTTACTATTGTAGAAGACCCTGAAATAGAGTCATAAATATGTATCTCTAGTGTGATAGAAATACAATTTTTAAAAACTAAATTGTACATTCTTGGTATGTACTTTTTGGTGTGTTCATCGTTGAGCTATTTTTTTTCCTACTCTGAAAAGCTATTTTGCTACAAGTCCGGTTCTTTTTTACTTTTATCCACAGGGAAGTCATAATCCCCTACTTAAATAGAAGCCAGTTACCATGGAAATCATTCTAATACCACTGAATCAATATTTTGATTTTGCTGACATTTAATGTAAAAAGACAAGACGGACTAAGATTCATAGAAGTCACTTTTCATCTTTGTTATAATTTTGATAGCTAGAAAAATTGTAAAGAAAACATATGCTCTGTAATGAACTTCAGTTAACTCCCAGTTATAAAGAACTGAGGATTCATAAAAGAACAATCTACATATTTATATGCTTTTGGCTTTGAGTGTACACATATACATGCATGCATTTGGACTCAAGATTTTTTCACCACCTCTCAACTGAGTCCTGATTCTCTCTCATTATTGAAGTCATAACTTGGTAGAAGAGATGTGAATGTATCCAATTTTGCAATTGCCTTTTTTAAAATAAAGATTTTATTTATTTTTTTGGACAGAGAACATAAGCAGGGGTAGCAGCAGACAGACGAAGAGGGAGAGAAGCAAGCTCCCTACTGAGCAGGGAGCCTGTCATGAGGCTTAATCCCAGGACTCTGGGATCATGACCTGAGCTGAAGGCAGCCACTTAACCGACTGAGCCACCTAGGCACCCCTGTTATTGCCTTTTTACTAAATGTTCTGAAGAGCTGAAATTTACATCAAGAATCACTGTAGAAATTGACCTTTTCTGCACTGGATCCTAGTAGCCCATCTGGTCTACTGACCATTCTCAGTCGACCAGACTCAGTAGACAGCTGAAGACATCTCAATCCATACTTAGAACTCTTTCTGAGAAGAGATGCTGAGCTTGGACCTCATGTTTAATAAGCCTCATGCCAATCAACTAGTTTTCCACACTTCACTTAAGTCTTTGTGCAGCTCTAATTCAGTCACTCTCTCCTCTCCTGTCCTCAAAAGAAATAAGATAATAGAGCTACTGTCTTTTGTTTGATAAGTAGCTATTTGAAACCCTAGATCTTCAGATGGTGAGGGGATCTGAAAGAATTAAGAGCTGCTCTCCCTCAGGAATTAGGTAGCTAAGGCATCTCAAATGAATGGTAATCAGCTCTGCTTTTAAGACAACCAGATCAGGGGCACCTGGGTGGCTCAGTGGGTTAAACCGCTGCCTTTGGTTCAGGTCATTATCTTAGGGTCCTGGGATCGAGCCCAGCATTGGGCTCTCCACTCGGCGGGGAGCCTGCTTCCTCCTTTCTCTCTGCCTGCTTGTGATCTCTCTGTCAAATAAATAAATAAATAAATCTTTAAAAAAAAAAAAAAAAGACAACTAACTCACCACTCAAATGTTTCTTTTGTGGGACAACCATCCTGTATTCTGCATGCATTCACTTGGAAGACCCCAGGTCCCCCTTGTGCGAGAGAGGCTATTCTGGAGGTATTTTTTATCCTGCTTCCAGAAGTTTCCAGCTGTACTACAGTGCTTGATAACACATTCCTGCAAGGCTACTTTCCTTCTGTTTCATCTTTCCCTCCCCCTTTGGGAGGTCCTTGTATTTCCCCTTGATTCTTCAATATTTCTAGATTACATTGAGGCCCACCTCCGATAGACACCAGTGTTCTAAATCAGTAAACTTCTTTTGTAAACAATCTAATATCACTGGCTGTGTAGTTTTTTGGCAAGAAAGGTAGGAGAGGGAGTACTTCTGGAAATAAGATCAGAGAAAATATGGAGAAATGAAAGACACCGTGTAACAACATCAGGGGAAACCTAAGAACAACATTTCAAATTTACAAAAGCAGATCTCTAGGGCCCTTTAGTGTATTAACAAGTAAAGGAAACACCTAACTTATTTCTACAAACATCGATGTGTTACCAGTGGAAGGACATGCTGGTGACTTTGAATCAGGAGAGAAAGGGGTCTTTCAATGTACTCTTAAGGCAGCGGAGGAACAACAAAAAGAGTCGCACCAGCAAACACACAGACGCGCACACATGCATGCACACACACACGTTCATGTCAGTTTCATTCATGAGAGCAAAACTGGACCAACCTAAGTATCATCAAGGAGAAAACGATTAAATAAAGCGCTATGATGTATACTTACCTTCTTAAAAATGGTGTTTCTTAAATTGAATGCCATGGAAAACAGTCACAAGAGAGTAAACGAAAAATAAAACACAAAACTGTATGCATCATGATTTCAGTTTGGGAAGTAGGCACACAAATACACATTATTCACACATGTACTCAGATGCATACGCACAGGGTCATGTTTTTACGTGTATGCATAGTAGGAAAAACAGCCTCGGTGGAGACTGTCCATGTAGAATGCATGGATGAGCGCCACCTCCAAGTGTGTGTTTGTATTCCTCAATGTGCACTGAAGCTTCTGTTTTTGGCTAAATAGGCACCAGGGCACCGACACAGGGGATAGAAGAAATGAGGTTGATGGAAGAGATGTGACATGCCTCATGGGCACCCCATCTCATGGACGAGGCTTGAGCTTCTGTTGAAAGATTAGACTAGAAGATGAGGAAACCTTTATGAAGGACTCGGGAGCCCACATGGCAAAGATACTTTCCCAGTTGAGGAAAGGACCACCTTGGCTTCCACTCCCAGCTGCAAACCACTGTGATACGAGGTATGCTGGGGACTTGGGGAAGCCTGCTCTGGAGAATGTCAGGGACAGACCGTGTGAGAGAACAACTAACGGACCTGGCAGAGGAGCCATTTTCTCAAGGTGGCCCCCCGCAGCACAGGCAACCCCAAAGTGCTTTCCACAACTAATCCACAAAATCTGTATGAGCTTGTATGCAAGCACACTTGAGACTGCCCTCCCTCCAAGGGACTCTCGGGACAAACTCAGGAAAGCTGAAACTTCCTTATTCCAGGAAGACTAAAGAGCTGGTGACATCTATGATTAACCTGACCTAATTCATACTCACAGGCCAGCAAGGAGGAGGGGAGGGATTTGCACATTTCATAGCTGAGGAAAAACAGAGGTATGGGTAGAATTTACAGACCGGGAGTGAAGTAGGCATTAAAATATATAGACAGTGTGTGTGTTCATACTCACCAGAAGGAACTCCACCACAATGTACAAAATCGTGATTTCTAAGAATGATTACAATTTGCCTTCTGTATATTCTTCTGCCTGACCATGTTCCCCTACGAATCACATCATGCTTCTAGAAGCATACAAGTGATCCTAATCAAAGCAAGACAATATCAAATTTAGATTTTTTTTTTTTTTTTTTGGCCAATTTCCTAATGATCTGCAGCTCTAAGGGGGTAAGAAAACACACACACTGCCTTCCCTTTCTGATAATATAAATACATCTTTCTGGGTGCCCTTTGTTGACATCTTCATAAAAGGCATCCTCATCTGCACCGCTCCTGCCTGGGGCTCCAGGGGGACAGAGGCAGGATTGGGAGACCCGGGAGGAGGGAAGGAGCATGGTTACCCAACACGTGTGAGGCCGCTCTCCCGGGGAGCGGCACGCGTGTTACCTTCGGGTCGCTCGGGGACCTTCCCGCTCTTGCCGGGCGCCGTGCTGTTGACCGTCTCCGACGACGTGCTCAGCTTGGTGCTGGGGTCCCGCTTGGGCTTGGGCGGCGGCTGCCTGCGGGAGCCACAGCTGCTGTCGTCATCTGTGCCCCCGACCGAGTGCAGGGACTGGGACCTCACGGAAAAGCCGCTGGAGCAGGGATGGGGAAGTCTGTCCTGAGGAGCAGGCATCGTCATGAATCCCATGCGGAAATGTTTGCCCGCGTAACTTCCTTCGTGGCCCCGCCCCACTTCGCCACCTATGCTGTAAAACAAAGCAGAGCCAAGTCCGTGAAGGTGAAGTCAGCCGGCGCCCGCAAGGTCACAGGGATGCACACGAGCCTCTCTATCCTAGGGCAGAGCTCACATTTTAACTCTAGACTGGTGAAGCAACATTCGCCTTGGCGCAAGAACATTCTGTGCTTTGGCATTAAGTATGACGGTAAAGCAGATATAACCTGATTATAACGAGAAATCCTCACACTCATTTCCAGCTGTCCTAGTATCATGGCATCCAGATACTCTCAAAATAGTGTTCTAAAGGAAAAGAAAATACTGCAGTAGCATATTGGATCTTCAATTGCTTTTCTTTAAGGAAAATCTTGTTGGGGAGTTATAATGCAAACAAGAGGTCCATGGCAATGACTCACGGCCTATCTTTTGACTCATGACTGAGGTCAAGTGGACAGCACCTGACACTATTCTCCACCTCATAAAATTAACCCTAATGTCACCTGGTTAATATAGTGAGAAAACAAAGCAAAAAAAAAAAAAAAAAAAAAAAAACAACAACAAACAAAACAACAACAACAACAATGAAGACAGCAGAAGGCCTACTGTTACCAAAAACAGCGAAAGGAGAGAGACAGGAGGAAGTGAGACAGGAAGGGAGGATGGGGCAAGGGAGGAAGGAATTGCCAACCTCTGTTAGCTCTCCAGAAACCTTCAGTTATACTAGAAACTTAGTTCTACTAATAAGCTAACCTCACAGAATTAAGTAGCATAATAGTAAATAAAGAGGTGTAGTTAAAATATCAAGCGATCCTGGGATAGATCTAAATACCTCATAAATAGAATATGCAAAGTTTTTAGATACAAGTTCCTTAAGTGGGAAGGTGGGAAACTCTGGACAAAAGTTTTAAAATGTAAGAAATCTCTCTCAGTTTGAAGCTCAGCAAGTCATAAAGGAAATAACTCTTGGGTTTTTCTCTATGTTATTAAGTAATGGTGACTTTTTTAGGAAGAAAAAGGACATGAATGTCAAGGAGAATTTTTTTTAAAAGAGGGTTTTTTTTTTTTTAGAGTTTTCCCAATTTCCCCATTTATGTTCATTCATCAATAGAGTAAACAAAAAGAAACATTGTTAGAAATTATTCCACTGATTTTCTTATACAGAAATAAATGATAAAAAAGTCGCCCTGAATGGAACTAGAGGGTATTATGCTTAGCGAAATAAGTCAATCAGAGAAAGACAACTCTCATATACTCTCCCTGATATGAGGAAGTTGAGAGACAATGTGGGGGGTTGGGGCGTAGGAAAAGAATAAATGAAACAAGATGGGATCGGGAGGGAGACAAACCATAAGAGACTCTTAATCTCACAAAACAAACAGGGTTGTCAGGGGAGGGTGTCAGGGAGAGGGTGGTGGGGTTATGGACATTGGGGAGGGTATGTGCTATGATGAGTGCTGTGAAGTGTATAAACCTGGCGATTCACAGACCTGTACTCCTGGGGCTAATAATACATTGTATGTTGATTTAAAAAAAGAAGAAGAAGAAGAACATTTAAGATCTATTCTCATTTAAAAAAAAAAAAAAAGGTCGCCCTGAATATATAAATTTTGGAAGCCTGTTGAATCTACTTTTCCAGACATAAGTTTATTTAAACTTTTTTTTTAAACTTAATTTTGTCTGACTCTGCCCTTGTAACATGATGAAGTTCAAGCTAAGGTTTTGTAATTCTCTGTATTGTATCTTTCATAGCATTATAATGTGTGTCACAAATTTTACATTCCAGCAGGAATAATAATGTAAAATGAGTTATTGTGTGTGTGTGTGTGTGTGTGTGTGTTTTGTTTTGTTTTTCTTTCCCTCTTCATTCGAGGACTTAGCAAATTATATGACCAGGGTAGACAGAGCTAGAAAGGATTCAACAAGAACCTGAAATTGATCCTGGCATTAAATTTGGATGACAACTTGCCACTCAGTCAAAAACATTGTTTATATTTATTCCTTTTTTTCTGAATATTTTGAGTGGATATCAGACACTGGATATGCCATCTTTGCAAGATGAAATAAAGATGACAGGAAGCTGGGTACACTAACCTGAGCAATGGATATCGAGAAGCATGAATGAAATCAAAGTGTTGCCTGGGTGGAGCTTTCCACATCATTATAGTAAGCATCCTAAGCCTGGGCAGTGTTTCCACATATTTTATTTTCTGTGCTATCTTCAAGAACATCCATCAAAACCCAAATGAAGCTTACTCAAATGGAATGGTTTAGGAAAAATCATTAAGAATTTAAGACAGAATAAGAGTGGTGGAGGACGGGGATGGGTGTGGTGGAATGGAAAGTTTTCTCTTTGATTTGTGATGATTATAACCTTCATTTTTCTCATAGATACTTGATTTCATTTAACTTTACCTTCAATCATTTTGCATCCTCATTGTTTCCTTTATTTCTGTTGTCATATCACTGAACAAAAAGTGCTTTAAGGATTTATTTAGACAGTCATCTCATTCCGAGTAGCATAGCCACGGGATTTATGCATGTGTTAATGCACATAGGCGTTTATGAGACAGTTACTAGGAATAATTGTATCAGCAATTTTTCTGTTACTTTTGACCTAAATAGAGCCTGTGCCTTTTTCAGCCAGATAATTAGCTCTGCTGCTTCATTTCAAAATTACATTTTTTCAGCATTAAACAATTTCATCTAACTCTGAATGCTTTTGTCCATATATGTCCATGCATGAGTACACACACACACACACACACACACACACACAGATACACACACATTTCTTCCAAAGGGAAATTTAATGTATACTTCAAACAATAGTAGGTCTGAGTTGCAGTTTAATTTGACCTTGTTGTAAATGCAGGGTAAAGGAATGGGACTAAGTAAGTAAGATGCAAAGACCATTGTTCAACGCAAGGTTAAGGGTAAGCAATAAAAGGTTTGTGGTACATCTAAGTTCAAGACACCAGTGAAGATGATTAGTCTAAAGCAAACCGAAGATTGTGGAACATAGCAGACAACTAATTCCTGAATTTATTGTAGGAACATGTGGAGTTTTAAAAATAGGCAGATTCCAGGACCCACACTAAAGACAACTACTGAATCACATCTGTTGAGTCAGAACCTCTGTAGGTGTAATCAATAAGTCCTGTTTTTAAAAACTGTATCCAAAAGTTTCTGACGTAGCCAATCCAGAGACCTCGCAGAAACATTAAGAACAATAGTTAGAGCCATTAATGAGCAGACATCTTTTATTTAGAAACAGCCAAGTAAACACAAATATCAGAAAGTGGGACAAAGGAGACTTGCTGGCTACCAGTAAAATATCACAGATAGAAAAAGATACAATTTATTAGTCAGATCTTGTTAGTTATCCTGCAGTAATAAACAAGCCCTGATCCTTAGTGCTTTACAACAACAAAGGTTTATTTCTTACACTCATTAATTGGATTGACTGTGTATTAGCTGTGACTCTCATATATAGATCTTCTTCATTCTAGGATCAAGCCTCTCCTGGGATATGTCCTTATAGCAGAGAGAGAAGGACTCACTAAAACCACAGAATGTCTCTTAAAGCTTCTGCTCAGACATGACAGATAATTTATCATTCACACTCCATTGGTTAAAACCAGTCTTATGGCCAAACTTGATGTCAGCGGGGTAGGGATAGATTCCCCTCCCAACAGGAAAGCATTGCAAGTTACATGAGAGTGTGTGAGGATGCAAATCCTCTACAAATACTGGTACAACAGCTGTGACGTATGCAACAGAGATCTCCCATTAAGAAAAAATATGCCACGAGAAATGAAGTTCACCCACTACCAATAATCCAGTGGTTATTATGGGGAATTTGTATTTTCTGGCCTGTAATCTGGGCTCTACAGGTTAGAGATCCTATTCCCTAAAGCAGGGCACACTCCTTCTAGAAGACATAAGAAGTGTTCCATTGAGCAACAAGCCGTATCTGTCTCCCGGGTAATTTAAACTCCCTTTGTAGTGGCCAGCAAGCAAGAACACAAGTCTCCATTGTGGACAGCTCTTTGATCCAATCAGCTGAAGGAGGCAGGGCTGCTGCCACATGATGGCGTAGAAAGAAAAATGTGTGGAACCCCTTTTGAAACTCCCTTGTCCAATTGTGATTTTGAAATACAGTCCATGCAGCAACCATGGCCCAAGAAGGGTTTGGTTACCAGGGGTTCCAACTTTTCATGGGAGGGATTAGTCTCACCACCAGGTAAGCCACTGAGACCAGCAGAGGTGTTAGCTGATGGTAACAGTGAGGTGAATTTGGAACAAATGGTGGGGCTGGGGGGCGGGGTAGTGGGTAATGAGTATCAGTTGCAGCCTCTATATGATACAGTGATGAGGGCTTTAGTTTATTATTCTAACTTCTCCTTTACAAGGTTCACCCAGGAAGAGTCCTGAGGGAGCATGAAACAGCTGTCCCCCAAACCTGTAAGAGAAGAATGTCTACTGAGGAAAAGGGGTGAATTGTGATAGCCATGAAGCCCTGTGGCTCATATCTTCCTCAAGAGAAACTTCTGTAAGGATAGTAGCTGATAGCCACCAACTACAAAGTCTTCAAATCTGTGGCAACATTTTAGTCAAGGTCACTCTTTCCCTAGAAATTTCCTCCCCAATAGCTGAGCATGATGTGGCATGGAACCTGGTGATTTCTGCCCAGTGTGGGAGTCCTTTCTGGGCAGTCTTGGGGTCTGAGTGCTTTTTGGCTGGCAGAGAATTTCCCACAGCTTCACCATGATAGGAGGCTCTTCCTATCCCACTACTTCTCCTTTAGCAGATGCCATGCCATAATGTGACCTGAGGCCTGTCTTACCTATTCTTGTCCCCCTCCCCATCATTCCAGGCATCCTTCTCAATAAACATATCCTAATTTTTTGTGTTTGTTTTTTTGGAGAGAGAGAGCATGTGTGCACACACACAAGGAGGGGAAGTGTCAGGGTTAGGGAGAGAAAGAATATTAAGTAGGCGCCATACACAGTGTGGAGCCCAACATGGGCT